ATTCAGGGGATGTCAAGACTTTCTATTCATTTTAAATTCCTCATCAAGGCTGTTAATTTGGATGCCTTACTTTAAGAATAGGTGAAAGACAGTGTGCGAATATGAAGGATTGTGAAATCAACCTGCAAAATATGTACATATAATGCATTTTTTACATTTCAGCTACTTTGTGCTTTAAGATACGAGTTTGAGAAAGTAAGACGACGAAATGGATGTTGAAATGTACAGTACTTTTAATTTTATTCTGACCGTTGACAAAGGAGATCCGCCAAAATGACCCCAGGCCCGGCGCCAAAATAATGTAACTCAGTTTTTAGAGTAAAAATAGCAATAATATTATATAGTTTCGGTATTGCTAAATTCACATGCTAACATAGTTTTTTTGCCTGTTGAATTTTCATAGGTGCTTTATGAAAAATTCTATTTATTAGAGAAGCGTCGTCCTTTTTAGTTCATTACCATTGTAATAAATAATTATGGCATATAATAATTAAACATATTTCATTTGCAGTTATATTTTTATTTAGAAAAAAAAATAGTATAAACTTCCCATAAATAAATAGAAGAATCCAGTCAAATGTTTTAGTTTTAGCTTTTTGTTTGTATTATATAATGATAAATATATCAACATTCGCATAAAGGTACAACAACAAATACGTTCAAACAAATAATTTAAATAAAGTATATTTGTATTGTTATATTATCGCTTTACGCGACTTTACTTAATGGCCGCATGACCTTCAAGCAATCGGCAAAGAAAGGATGAACACGCACGGATGAACGCACCTGTGACGTGAGGGCACAACTGGATACATCTTATTGTCTCGCTCACATATAATGGTTTAGAGAGAGAAACACGCAGACGCCCGCTTTGCTTTGGCGTGCTCTGCTCACGCGCAGTCCTACGCTAACGTTTGTTGTGTTGTGTACTGTGAACTGTGCGATACCTTACCTTGATCTTTATTTTACTTTGTTTAACCCTCCCGGACTTTTGATTTTCTTGTGAAATGGCAGACGTTTGTATTTTGTGTACACGATCATTACGGCAACGTCGTAGACATTTCATAGTTTACAGTACAGTACATACATGCTTATACGCCATAATGACTAATTACAAGATTAATGAACTAAAAATGACGACATTTCTCTAAAACATTTAATTTTACAAAGAGCCCCTATTAAAATTCAACGGGCAAAAAGACAATGTTAGCATGTGAATTTAGCAATACCGAAAGTATATAATATTTTTGCTATTTTTACTCTAAAAATTGAGTTACATTATTTTGGCGCCGGGCCTGGGGTAATTTTGTATGGGATTTGGCGGATCTCCTTTTCGAGTTAGACGATTAGCCACGAGGCTTTGCAAGGAAAAGTGAACTCAATATGTATATCGAAGTACGTAACTAACTGTAAGTAAGTAACTGTAGTGCCGCATGCAAATGATTAGCAGGATATGGGCATGAAATACTTTATGAAGCAATATAACATGGTGTGATTTATCTTATTGAATATAGTTGAAGTTTTAATTTATCATCATCGATCCGTTTATACGTCCCACTGCTGGACACGGGCGGAGGCCCGAGGGGCGTCTCAGGCGAGGCTTTAGGCTGCAAAATTGGCTCAAAGGGGGTTGGGGAATTCTCACACACTTTTCTTGAGGGTTGTGTACAATATTCGACGTGCTTTCTGCTTATCATGCATATGTCAGCTCGATTTTACGTTGTGGACTTCTTATCTGGGGAAGCGGTACAAATATAAACAGAGTGTTATTAGCCCAAACAAAATATTGACATCAACCCTTGAAGTTACGCTACTAACAGATTGACTGCATGTTTGCAGTTAATGTGTGAAGTCGTAATCAACTTCATGCAGATGAGACCTGGACTGCATGAAATTGATAACGACTTCACACATTAACTGCATGCAGTCGATCTCGGCTGCATAAAGTCGGTTTCGACTACACGTAGTTAATTCGTGAAGTCGTTATCAGAGGTATCGGCTGCATGAAGTAGATAACAACTTCATGCATTAACTGCAAAAGTGCAGTCAATCTGTTAGCAGCTTTACAGAGATCGTAACGGAGAAATATAACCAAAATTGTTTGTATATGTGTGTTAGAATTTACAACAAAGTACCAAATGACATTAGGGTCATTCCAGCGAAAATGACACTGCGGTTCAAAAAAATAACTTACACAGTTTGGTTTTAATTGTATAACTAGAATACGCCCAGTAAATCAAATCATTAGAAATAAATGAGATTTTTCGGATATTGTAAAGTTATGTATTTTTTGTCTTCATTAACGCAGCCATAGTGCTGTCGTCTATAGTGAAGCATTTTTCCTATAATGTTAACAACAATTTTCGCGATTATTTGTGCGTCTTTCTAAAAAGGTTATGTCTAAAGGTTATGTATACTGTCGAAGAAAATAAAATTCACGAATTTTAAAACAGTGATAACTGTTTGCATAGAAGTATATATAGTGAGGAGTTATTAAAGTTTCAATAAATACTAATTTCATGTCTCACCTGTCACAATGAAACATATATATTTTTATTTTAACCGATAAATATGCAATCTATTGGCATTTGCTTTTGTAAAAGTATCAAGTATGCTAAGGGTCATTATTTTTGCTTGTAAATATTAAGGTTTGAAAGTGTGTCCCACCAGTCGCTATGACGGGCTATATGTCATAGCGACTGGTGGGACACACTTCTAAACATTTTATAAATGTTTGTATTTTCATGGATTCGAGTTTAAACGATGTTTCCTAGGTGTATCAGTTGCTTTAATTTCAGAGTTTAACGTTTGATGTGTTAAATTGTGACGATTGGGACATCATTTTGTGACAGGTGGGACAAGTTACATTTGAATATACAGAATTTTAGAAAAATACACTGTTTATAAGTAGATCCATCACTTGTAAGCAAATTTTTTATAATTCTTCTCATAATTTTAACACATTTTAACACATAAAAAGGACAATTAAAAAGTGACAACACTTTTCCTGATAATTTTTAGTATGAAAATGAAATGTCTGTCTCCACCAGTTTTAACTATATATTCCAGCGAAACTTCTAAAATTAGATATATTTTGATATGATACATAATCTTCAAGGAAGCGGCAGGATTTTTCAAATTTATTTACGCACTTTACTTGCGTGACTTCTATCATGTTGTCATAGATAGTGTTACAAGAAAAACAATAGGATTACTTTATCAGTTCTTTAACTTTTTTTTTGTTTTTTTGTTATTTATGTTATGTCTTAATAAGACGAAAATTATAAAATATTTGCTTACTAATGATGGATCTCATATTAAACAGTGTTATTTTATTAATTCTGTGTATTCAATTGTCACTCGTCCCGCCCGTCACAAAATCATATCCCACCTGTCACAACTTAACATATTAATTTCCTTAAAATTTATCAAAGTTATTAATTAAGTGTATATATAAAAAAGAACTTTAACTTTCAAGTTATCTCATATAAAACACTTGCTGAACAAAATATTAATACTTTGTCTTGATCTTGGCAATGAAGCCATCAACTCAAACAGGCGGGTGTCGTGAGTGTCCCACCTGTCACACTTAGAAAATTAAAAGCTTTGAGTATAAATAATGTCATAAATTTATGTAAATAAATAGTCCCAGTTTAATTGCATATCTGGCTTCATGATATTTTCCCATTGGCCCATTAAAGACTTGCCTATTAAATAATTTTAAACAAAATTATACTAATGGTTTAAAGATAAAGTATATTATAGTATTAGGGATTATTTCAAAAGTATTATTATATAGATGAATTTAAATTAATTTAAGTATTTATGACTATTATTATTGATATATTACAATGTTATATTAATTAACTATACATACTTATAATTTAATATAATCATAAGTAAAATTAATCAATATTTTCTGGTAAAACTTGTTTGTACTTATTCTACTATTTGTTATCTGGATCACCATGTTTCTAGCAAATAAATTATTTGATTTGGAATAGCAGGTTTCGTCATGATAAAATCCTTCATCGAAAAGCTCATAGTCAATTTCAAATTAAATTTTGCCCATAAATACCGAAAAAACCAGGGGTGCAAACCCAAATTAAAAACTTGATTAACGCATACAAATCAATATTTATAGTTCAATATAAATAAGAATTAGACATATGTAGCTATTAAATTAATATTGACTTAGTACAACCTTACTTAAAAAATGAAATATATTATTATTTTTATTTTGTAACAAAGCAGAAATGGCTGAATCAAAGTTTAATAAATTAAAAAATTTTTCAACTTTTATATAAATATACATGAAGGCAAAATCAATCTCCAATCACTTGACGAACCTCTATTACAAGCAAATTAAAACATGAACGAAAAAAGAAGATAGTCAACTTATCTTTTAATTTTATTTTTATTAAATATCATGATGATTTTACTACCATGATATTTTTTTTGTAATAATAAAGCAAAAAAAAATGTTTAAAGACCCAATACAAACATCCGCAACACACTAGAGAAATTTGCACAATCTGCTAGCTCCTTAAGGTGATATACACTGATTTATGTCCAGTTGGACATGTTTGTTCAATCGTTATTTAATAATATAATATTGTAATAATAATAGTTTCTTAATTTTAAAATTAGAATAAAAAAGAAGTTAAGTGCTTCAAATTAAACTTTTCAAAAAATACTGCATTATTTTGTAGATTTGGTGACAATTTGACGTGGTTACTTTAATTATGCACACGCCTACTTAGTTTCACATGTGTGATGTTGATATATGGAATAAAATGTATATTAAGTTATTATAACTTTGAGAGCGAAAAAAATCAGTTCAGTAAATGAGCGCAATAAATATATAATACAGTAATCAATATGCATTCGTTTCAACAACACGACGAGTCTACGGTATCAAGTGATAGGTATATTATTGCAATATCTTAATATTCCATGGTAAAAATGCAAAAACAATTACAAGGAACAAACGCACTTACCTGTAGTTTCCGCGGATGACGTAAACTCAATAACGGAGATTATGAGAAATATCACTAAAGTTCCGTAAAGTTTTAAAGCGCACATCTTGAAAAGCCGTTCCAATTCTTCCATGACACGTTATAAAATGTATATTTTTGCGTCCATTTACATTGTTTCTTCACCGAGTCTGACTCTGACAGTCCTGCAATCCATCTCCAACTGGTTGCTAGGATTTAGCAGCCACAACATTCACACAACACCTGTGGGATTTGTTTCATGCGAAACCATTGAACACTGCTTGACCAAGGTACGAGATTACTCATAAGTTCACTCAACTTTGTGTGGTATTTACTTTATTATATATTATTTACTTTATTATTTATTTATTTTTGTGAACTTCGAAAGTTTCATGAACTTCATTTCACAAGTTTTGTTTGAAGGACGCGATCCGTCGGATACGTGTGAAGAGATCGGAACAATCAAGCACAAAACCTGAGTGACCAGTTTTTTCTTTCAAATTTGTTAAATTCGTTAACAATACCATTTCTCTTTGGTCATTTCATTTCTATATATTTACATGGTTATATGATTTATGTGAGAGTTATCAAAAACAAAATAGTACCGTATTTCATATACACTGTAGTAAGTTTAAGTAATTTTACATCACAAAAACCGTTCTTTAATCACAAAATTGCTCAGCTGTAGCAGTGAGTGGCAAAAAACGGTAACACTGCATAACGGTAACCAAAACCATTCGTTCCTGGAGAAGCCGTTCATTCGCAATGTACTTCATTCACTAGAGAGTGTAGTTACGTTATACATTGACTTACTTTAAACTATTGTGTTATCTTTACTCAAATAGACTAAAGTCCTTCGCCGCGGATAAAGCCGGAAGGGTTTTTGTGAGCGAAGCTTGTAATTAGTATAAGTAATAATAGAATACTAAGTAATAGAATAGTATAAATAAGTATTTTTCCTGTATTTTGGTCAATAAATTTAAAAAAAGTTACTTACAATGTAAATAAATAAACCAAACAAATACATAATTAAATAACAATTGCAGTGCCATTCAGGGCTTTAAATCGCAAAGATGAGGTGCGATACCTCTGCGCCCATTACCCTGAGACATAAGTTGAAAAGTCTCATGTGCCTTTTTTTTTTCTCATGTGCCTGTAATTTCACTAGCACCCACGTGAGACGGGGCAGAGGGCACGTGGTTTTGCGATCCTCAGCCCCGTCCGCGGTTGTCCACCACCGCGGACTCTCCCCTGGGGGAGCACTATTCCCCTTCATCATTCCACTTCATCGATAGTGGCATGCCGGGAATACTTGGCACACCAACCAACCGTGAACCCTTATCTAAGATGTACTTCCCTGGATGAACTCTTTCATAAGGAGTTCTACTGCTACTAAAACTAAATGTTACTGTTTTTGATTGATGTAACTAATTTTAATACATTTTCAGAAGCAGAAAATATTTTAAAATTATGTGGGATTTCAAAGTTTACAAATATTTCTTTATTAAATAATTTTTATGCATTTTCAAAACACTTTTAACACTTGTTTCTAGTGTATTGTTGTTATGTCTTTTGATTGAATCACATATCTCAAGATAACTTAAAATGATCTGAATAGTTTAAAAATAAAAATTTTGAAAAATGTCCACGTTTTTGTCAGATTCGGTCACTCATATTATTTATTATTATTGATATATTATGTTTACAGCGCCAGCGGGTGCATCTCTAACTATGCACCATCTGTATGTTCCGTTGTATAATTATGCTATTGAAGAACGAAATGCAGTGAATGAATGTAACTGTAGTTTTGTCTTTGTTTCTCTTGTCAAAAACATGTTTATCTATCCTGCTGTCAGTTAAATGAAAAAATTAATGAAACGGAATGCGTGAGCCTCTTTCTTTTGGACTGTCCGTGTCTTTTGGATAGTTGAGGCGGATTTTAATCCTAGGTAATCACTGTTTTTATTGAATTATTCTTGAGAAACAGTGAATTTCCTGAGAATGACCATTAAATGTGTGACGTGACTAATGCTATTTCGACTATTAGTAAAGTCTACCGTGCATAACCTCCTTTTTCATGTTTTGACATCCTCTTGTGCAGACGTAAAGTTTTTTCGCTTTTCTGGTTAAGTGTAAATAAAGTCTATTGTTATTTCAGCCATGGTGCGAATGAACGTATTGAGTGATGCGCTAAAATCAATCCACAATGCCGAAAAGCGCGGTAAGAGGCAAGTGCTCATCCGGCCTTGTTCAAAAGTAATCGTCAAGTTCTTGACTGTGATGATGAAGCACGGGTACATCGGCGAGTTCGAGATCGTCGACGACCACAGAGCCGGCAAAATAGTAGTGAACCTCACCGGTAGATTGAACAAATGTGGAGTCATTTCACCGCGTTTCGACGTACCTATCAATGATATTGAGAGATGGACTAACCTACTTCCATCCAGACAGTTCGGGTAAGTTTTCTCCTGATCATTTGCCTAGATATTTTTGCACTTTGTTGTAGACTCGAAATCCACCATTAACCTGTTATGTTCTTGTTGCAAATCTCCAATTTTGGAGGTTACCTTGGGTAAGGTTATAAATGAACAAATTTGGTTTTTGTCGCTCTATAGGTTAATATATTTCTTCAGTTTATATTATTCACAAAACAAACCTAACTTTCAACTAATTTCTTCAATGTTTGATTTAAAGTATAATTTCCATTTTATTCAGGATCATACACAGATCTATGCTTTGTATGGTACTTGCATTGATAACGTTTGAAGAGAAGGGAGAAGTATATAGCTGATTTTGTCGTCCTCATTTGCACAACTACCGCGGATCGCCAATAGTTCTTGTTGGTCGTCATTTGATATGTTGTGCTACAGAAAATAAAACGGTACTAATTGATGTCACTTGAGTAGTGAACATTGTGAGTGTTGTTTTACACAATAAACAATTAAGCTCTTGAACTTTTTTAGGAGTGACTACAGTAGATTCTATAGTCAACACACTCTTAAAATTTATGTTACCACATTTAGAAATGAATAAATAACATACACACTCATAGCACCGCAATAGGGAAGCCCTGAGTCGCAGGTGCCATGGACAAGCATATAGACAACCACAAATTACACCCATGAGAGAAAGTAAAATTAGCCCATACAAATATTTCTCCCAGACTGGGAATTGAACCCAAGTCGTCTGTGTGGTAGATAAGCATGGTAACTGGTTGGCCATGGAGAGTTAGAAAACTGGTAGAGTAATATGAATAATAATAAAAAAAGATTTTAGGCATTTACTGCTTTTTAGAATTTCTCCTTTGTTAAATACATCTGCTTTATCAAGAAGATTGGCTCTAAAAATAACTGCGATGTATCTGCAGCGCAAAGTTATAGAGTCATAAACTACTATCCCAATGTTAGCATTTTTTGAAATATCTCAGTAATAACTCAAATAAGGATCTATTTTGGATTTGGCCTCTATTCTTGAAAAGCAGCAAAAAATTATGGTTCTAGTACAGACTACAGCACATCATGCCACACATTGATATTCGAACAGAAGTGTATAGCTTCATGTGCTGTTGACTGCACATTAATTGGCCATATTGTGCAACAAAATGCTGATTTATTTCATAAATTGGATATTTGTTATTTATTCCATGCATATCCACTACTCTGCTGTATTGCTTGATTTTTAAATTACTTGCATTTGTGTTCACTTCCCAATGTGAACAGTTACCTAATTTCTAATTAAACATTGGTCTATTTCAAAGTTTTCTCTGCAGAATATTGTATTATATTTGACTACTTGTCAGTATCAATGTTAGATAATTCATTATTGCATTTGTAATTTCCAGATATCTTGTACTGACAACCAGTGGTGGCATCATGGACCATGAGGAGGCCAGGAGAAAACATCTTGGAGGCAAAATTTTAGGCTTCTTCTTCTAAGTTTACCCAATATACTTAAAAATGTACCTGTTGTTTTATTTTCTAATCTAGTTTATAGCTTACCAATTAGTTTATTTCGTAATTGTGCAGGATTGACTGTTTCATACCTATTAATATATACATATTTAAGACTACCAAGTCGTCATTAATTTATCATCTGCCACTACAAGTTAATTTATGCGTAGCAGTAGTACTTGTATATATAACGAATAACATATACATAGTGCGCACTATAAGTTCCCGGAACTGGCCACTTACATGAACAATATTGAAAAAGTAATTACATTTGAAAATGGAACTCTGGCTGTAGAATACAGTTTGTTTCATCTGACTGTTACTTGTTTTTACATTGTGGCGTCATTTTAGAAATTGATTGTCTACATCACCATGGAAAATTTTCGTACTATGATTTTCTACGACTTTAGTGTAATTTAATAGCTCAGCGGAGCTTCGCTCGGCTTCAAACTGCTTTTGGCGATAAAGCACTATGCAAAACGACTTTATAGCCGATTTGCAGAATTCAAATGCGGTCGTGTGAATCGCAGTGACGAATTTCGTGACGGTCACCCACTGATGTGAACAACAAAAACATCGATGCTGTGCGCCGTATGATCAAAACAGACAGGCATGTGACATACCATGAGATTCGGGCATCTTTAAGTATAGGCATGAGTCAAATACAATCTATACTACACAAACATTTGGGTATGAAAAAGCTGTGCTATCGGTGGATCCCATACAATTTGACTGAGGCTCAAAAAACTGATCGCGTCACTTGGTGCAATGCCATGCGTACTAGGGGGTCTACTCTCGATCTCCGTCCGAAACAATTACTGCTAAATAAGCAATACTTGACCAAATGAAAAGACGCGTGATGCGAATGTAGTTTCATACTTGACACTTGTCTTTTAATTTTGTCGAATATTACTTATTTGACAGTAATTGTTTCGGACGGAGATCGAGAGTAGACCCCCAGATTCAAAGAAGGGGCGTCAAATTTGGTGTGGGACATAGTAACAAGTGACGAAACACGGATTTATAGTTACAATCCCAAAACTTCGTCTTCCGAGATGAGTCGAAACCAATCAAAGTGGCGCGCGTGCATAGTGCCTCTAAGCGGATGATTGCTTCTTTTTTTAATAAAACTGGACACGTGGCTACTGGTGCTTCAAAGAATCATTGTACCGTGAATAGTGATTGGTACACGACCATTTGTTTGCCGGAAGTTATTGATAATCTCCGTAAAAATATCCGTAAACGCCGTATCATCTCGCACCACGATAATGCCAGTTCTCACATGGCCAGACAGACAAATGAATTTTTGAAGGTGAACTACGGTGACCTTATGAGCCATCCCGCGTATAGACCCGACCTGGCACCGTGTGACTTTTATTTATGTCCAAAAATTAACAGCCAGTTACGCGGTCAACGATTTTCATCACCTAAAGAGGCTATCGAAGAGTATGAAAAATATGTGTCAGACATTGTCACGGAGGGGTAGCATAAACGTTTTCAAAATTGGTTCTTTCGTATTGTCATATCCCAGCTCTTCTACCTAAACTACTAGAATCAGCCCTGTCATTCCTCCTAGTCAGCATTCTTCTTTGAACAACACTAAAACTATATAGAAAGCAGTTCAGTTCCTTCCAAACTCCAGTCGCGTAAACACGTGCCAATTCAATTTCCATTTTTTATAGTATTTCTTTATTCTATTGTACTTAATTACCACTTCTTCCCGAATTACACAATTTCGGGAAAATTGTGTTTTTTTTAAAACGACTTTTACTACGCCGCGTATAACAGTACGAAAAAGTGCATTAACGCCAACGGAGAATATTTTGAGAAACAAATTCATTTCTGACTATCTATAATATTTATTTCTTATTCATTCCGGAAACTTATAGTGCGCCCCACGTACTTTATTATTATAGAAAGCTGTGGAAACACGAAGCACAAAATCTCCCTTGTGGTCGCATTAGTGTGACAAATTAGTGCGACCATTAGGAAACGGTGGTTAAAACTAGTACTGTCAATAAACGAAAATGTCGCGTTTTCTAATTAAACTTTTTTCAGAAACTTTAACTGGTAAATTCCCGAAAGTTTACTTATCCGTTTAGTTATCGTTGTAGTTATAACGTGCGTAAATGTATATAAATATCTTTTTGGATGGAATGAATTGGGCATGAGTACAGGATTAATTAAATACATCATTTTGAACATGATGCAGTGGACACGTTTTTTGGCTAGGCATGTCTATTTCGCAAAACGTACCCTAATCAGAATTTAGTACTTGGATTGATGTTCAATATATTACCTAGATGGCGGCCTGTGTAAGTGAGTAGTATTTGTTATGTTTACCAGATGGCGTTGATTAGAGAGTATTTGAATTCAATGTATGTTTAATTTATTTCTCAAGTACTAGATGGCTCTGATGTATCGAATTAGATCATTTTATTTTTATAAAAGTAATTTAGGTATCTCGCGTGTATTATGAAAAACTTCTAGTACGTCAATATTTTGTTTCTATTATATTTTTAACTTTCTACCTTTGGTATTAGTAAAATAGTACCTATTATTATTTCAAACATCAATATTATGAGGTGCTGAAAAACTCGGAGTGAATTTCCAGGTAGAAATCCGAACAATGGAAAGGATCTTTAAAAAAAAAAATGTATTTCGCAACTAAATCACAAGCTACTTCAAGCGGGAGCCTGCGCAGCTGTTTGTAACGAGACGCTTCGCATGCCGCTCCATTCCGAGGTCCCCGCCATATCGTGCGACCCGGCAAACGCCACTTCGCCAGTTGCGCGTCCACGCTCGTATTCGCTCGCCGTCGCCGCACGAAAATGTGTATCGCGCCCACAGTGTGAGGAGAAATAAAATTATACAGTGACAGTGATCCACACATCTTTACAAAAACATTTTTAATTAGCAATTTAAAAGAAAAATCAACTCGAACATGATGGCTCCCGAGACAGTGGTAGTAGACCATAACAAATCGTCGCCACAGCAGGCGCCTCCGCAGCAGCAGCAACAACAAGGCGGAGCTCTCGACTGGATCAAAATCAACATAGATTACTTTAAAACTCCACCTGGTTTATTGAAAATTATTCAGTTGGTGAGTGAAATCTCTACCTTAAATTTGAAATATTACCGCTATTTTCATTGATACAATTTACGTAGTGCAGTTTATCCAGTTATCATCACAAGATGATTTCACGTCATTTAAGGTTTTCTATTAATTGCCTTCATTAACCTGACCTCTCGAAATTCTGTGTGAATTTTAATTAACTACTATGAGTATATATGTAATGTGTCACGTCAAGTCAAATTAGCTGGTAATTGATGTTAATTCAATTAACGTTATGTTTTTGTTTAATGCTCTACTACTACGTGAGTTAATGCGATGCTTAACTAAAATGTATCGAGAATTTTGAAACGTCGAATAAACCAAGTCCCTACATGGTGGCGCGACGTAATAAGCTTTTGTTTTGCGTGCGTATTATATTATGAGAGTTATCGAGGTCATTCGACGTTGCATATTGTCGTGGAGAGTCGGTGAGAAACGCTTGGAGGTCAGTAGGCAGCAGTGAGGAGTAAGCGGGTTGAGGGGCGCGGCGCGGGGTTTGATGCAGCAGGTTGTGGAAGTACCTAAAGATCACTTACGTAGTAAGGTATTTTTACACTCACCACGTAATAGGCCACTTTTCGGGAAATTGGGACACATGAAGAAAGAGACATAAGCTGGATGACAAATACCTATTTCAATAGCTGTAGTGATTATTACTGTCCGGAAGTATATTTGGTGTGTCGAAGGATACTTTATTCATGAAAGTAGCTGAGATGTATACGATATGATTTCGAACATAGGATTCAAAACGTCGTTACGTCGACACTAACTATGCATCTATAAACTGCATTCCGAGGGTCTGTTTTTTATCGCTTACTGTTTACGTGTCCTTGTTGCATTCTTTTGTTGCTCGTTAGCGATACTCATAGGTGTAAGGATAATTTTCGGGGAGGTATTGTTGCTGGGGTACAACCTAGAACAGTTGTAATTATCTTGCACACTTTTGTATAGTTACTTTCCTTTGTTTCCTTCATAAGTTCACATCAGTATTTTACTTTCTATAGGTAGGTACTCTACTTACTGTACAATATAACGTGTTGTATAGTTGGTAGTCATTATAGGTAATTTGGTATCAACCACTAGGTATATACACTAGTATTGATTGACAAGCCTCACTTTGCGTCTATGTTGTGTACCTTCTATATTCTTTTATATTTTTTTGTTCTGTAGAATCGCAGTAGAGAAATAGTGTTTTAGAAAGATCGAGTGGCGATGTTGCTTTTTTCTTAGTGTATGTAAAAGAAATTAAGTTCACATTGACAGAATTCGCTTCTTATAACTTTCTCGTCTATAGCTTACTTATCGTGGTTCTTAATTTTTAATTACGCTTACCACGAGATATTAATTTAGCTGTATTGGAGGTTGTTTTTTCAACAACAGTACATATTTTTTTTTACTTTTCATGTTTGGCATAGAGTTCTATTTAAATCTTATTTGTAAAGGTGGATGTGCTATTGTGTGTACCCTTAATCGTGTTGGTGTCTACAATGGATTTCTGTATTATAAATGCTGCCATTTTGGGCGTGGGTTGCGATTTGTACCTGTGCTACCTTAAGGAAGCTTCCATGATTCATCGCACCGTTACGTCAGCATGTTATAGTCATCTGTTGAATACAGGTCTGGCCAATAAGGAGCAAATTGTGTCAATCTCTTGTTTTCGAATTTTTCGTAACCATATGGCAAGTTCAAATTCATAAGTGATAGATAAATTACACCATGTATTGGCCTCGTCTCGTTATGAATTAGATCTATGCGCCTACGCATTCAACTCCGATGCTGATATCATCACTCCTTCCTCTTTCGGCGGTCGACGTAACTTTCCTTACAGGGTGGTTTAAATAATACAGTAGATGTTAAATATAGATTAGTTATAAATTATAAAGAAAAAACGAAAGTTAACCCTAAGACATGTTACGAAGTTTTGTTGTAGTGATACAGTAATAAAAAATAAATAAGTTATTTATAATATACCTTTATTTTGCTTTATAAATAGCACAGAACAAGCAAAACAAGATTTATAAGTGCAGGTATATATTTAACATTCGAGTGTAGCAACCTGACATATTATTCAATATTTCACGATAATTTACTCGAATACATAAATAGTAAAAATTGCCACCTTGCAATTAGGTAGAGAAAACTTTCCAGAAAATTACCCAAGTATAAAATAAAACAGACAAAAAAGAGAGAATGGTTCCCTATAATGTAGATTCGACTTCCTTTCAACATGGACTCAAAGTATCATATATCATACAAATGAAACGTGAAAATGTATTGCTATGCAATTATTTACCTATTCTTTTGCGGTTTTCTTTCAGAGTTACGAAATTTAAATTCTTTCTAGGATTCTTTGGCAACCATATAGAAATGATTTCACGCAAGAATATTAATTATGGTGATTTAATAATTAGGAAGTCGTGAACCGTTTAATTAGTCAAGAAATGATTATATAAGTTTATAAAGTCACGGTCTTCTTTTTATGCAAAGGTTTATATGTTCAAATGTTTTTCTCTCCTTTAAGGAGAGGTAAACCCTCTTAGGCTTAGGTTAGTTTGCCGCGCTGGCACTGTATAGTTTGGAGACGTCTCTCGTTCTTCGAGGGTTGTGAACTTACTTCGGCAAGCAGTTTTCAACATGATGATTTCTTTCACCGTTAACAAAAGGTATTGTAACTAATTATTCACAAATGAACGTAACTTAAATATTGAAGTCATAGCTACATGTCGCCTCAGGGATTCGATCGTCGACTTATCAATTTAGGACCAATCGCTCTCTTTTCAAGTTTTTATTGAACAATAATAGTAACTAATGGAATATTAACTGCCTCCGTGGCCGAACGGTTACCATGCCGGACTGATACGCAGAGACCCCAGGTTCGATACATTTATGTCTCTCGTGAGTTTGGGTGTAATTTGTGGTTGTCTATGTATGTGTCCAATGCACCCGCGACACAGGGTTTCCCTAGTGCGGGGCTATGTTGAGTGTGTGCATTATTATTATTATAATATTATTATTATTATTTCCACAAAAAATATATGAAATTCAATATAAATATTTAAATCAAAGCTATAACTTTCTTTAGGCATATAGAACGAACGTTGAGTCATGATGATTTATTTTTATAACTAAGTATTTAACTCTAATAAAAACTCTTCAACCGAAACCTTAACTTTCACTAGTTAAGACGTTGAGGCTCATTTAATTCATAGCTCCGTGGAATTGCTAGAATTCATTGACCCGTAACCTTTTCAATTCAGTACCTTATTTCACGTAATTATTTCTTAATCATACTACCTTACAAGGTTATGTATATATAGATATAATCAAATGAATCATTTTTGAAGAGTTCATAACTTTCTGGCTATCTGCATCATGTTCTGAAAATACTTGTTATCTTATCAGTCACAAAGTAGTGTAGTGAGTCATACCTAAACAGCATTATCTAAAATAATGTTTTTTATGGAGGTATCATATCTAACTTATGGCCGGGAACGAATTTCCCTATTTAATATGAAATAATACATTATTTCATTTCATTACCAAAGTTTAAAATAAGCGAAATATACTTGTGTTTTTATTCTTCTTGTTAACGTGAAAAAATACGTAGGAACATATTTGTAGCAGTAGAGCTCCTCGTGAAAGAGTTCGTCCAGGGAAGTACTGTCACTTTATCTATTTCTGCTGCCAAGCAGTAATGTGAGCATTACTTACTATGTTCTGGTATTAAAAGGTAAGGGTGCTGGTGAAATTACAGGCACCTGAGTCCTTGTCATTTTATATCTCAGGGTGACGGGTGCTATGGCAGTGCCCTATCTTCGTAATTTAAGGCTCTGAGTGGCACTATGACTGTTATAGATAGGCGTGCAGCTCACCACTCACAATAAGTCGTCCAGAATGGAATTAAATAATCCTTGATTTATAATTAGCGTTATTGAATATTTGTTAGGGCCAAATACACATATATAAAAGCCCTTAGTAAAGTATTTCAAGCTGAAGGCTTTCCTTTAAAAGGTCACACAAAGAGACGTGAGTCAGTTCTCCAGTGCTTACGTAATAGCTATGTTTATCGGTGAACAAATTTTCGCATCATGTAGCGAAATAGTGCTTTGAAGAGTCCTTCAAATGCACCGTGTACTTTCAAATGCACTCAGTAACGTTGTCTCTGTATTTGTAAACAATTTGTTGGTCGTTTATACTCATATGTTTATTTTGTATCTATTTTTCTTGTGTTGTGGGTCAATTGGTTTTACAGTCACACGTTGAAGTAAAGAAACTTTTCTCTTTTGCCATGTCACTGACGAATGATTTAAAATTTCAACCAACAAAATCTGCTTAGGTATGATCATGTATACAAAGATCGAACATACAGAAAAATTTCGTCGATCCGGTGGGGCTTGAACCCACGTCCATGCTGCATCGTAGTGTTGCTCTAACCGTCTGAGACGCGTGTCCAGTTACCGAGTCGTCGAAATTCTTTTATGTGTTTTTGTTATAGATATTTGGACTGACTTTCATTCACTTTGCATTTGTCGCCGCTAGTGACATCTAGCGAGAGTTTTTTTTTTGTATTCATAATCATAACAAAACTAGAGGAACTAAATTTCACAAAAAATCTCAATAAATGTATCCATTTATAGTCCATTTGTTTAGGGTACATAACTAAATGTAAACAATCTTGAGATGTCTATTTATTGAAATATATATTTATAAAATGATTTTTACTTACCTTCAAATACAAAACAGAAATAGTTAGCTTTTTTATACCCATTGATTAGTAAAGCATATGTTTCAATAAAAAGATGTATCAAGATTGTTTACATTTAGTTAAGTACCTAAACAAACGGACAATAGGTGTTTATGTTTATTCATGTAGTTAGTAGTTTTTAAAGATAACGCTGGTTTAGGTATCAGAATCGATCGACGTAAACTACTGTTCTTAGGATAACTGTTGATATTTGAGCAGCTTAATTGTTTTAGGAAATAAAACT